TTGGGACAGTGAACTTACTCTTTAATGCACATTATGCGTGTTAGAGAGCGCTGCTGCAGGTGCACACTATGGCACACAGTGCCAGTCAGCCCGCACACATACACAATGCCCTATGCGTGTGTTTATTCGTATGCAGATGGTGGGGTTGGTTTTAGGTTGTTTTTATTTAATATTTTTTATTTTTGCTTATTTACATTTTTGTTTTTATAATATTTATTTTATTTTCAACTTTATTGCTATCACACAGGAGCTAACAAGCCCCTATGTGATAGCATTTGGAGGGGACAGGTTCTCTTTATGGAACCTCCCCACCAATACAGGAGTTCAAGCACAGCATTGTGCTCGATCTGTGACAGCTGAGACAGGAAGGCTGTGTGTGCTGTGTTCCTGTCTCGCTGTTCACACGGAGCAGACCGGAGAACGGACTCTCTCCAATCTGCTCCCCGCTCTCCATCCTGAAATGATTTGCTGCGTTCCTGTGTCCCCCCAGAAGAGCGGGGGGCCCAAAAAGCCACGGCGGGGAGAGAGGCGGCAGGACCATGGAAGGAGAGGACGAACGGACAGACAAGCAGGCTGCTTACAAGTTAGCCTCCCAGATCCCATTTAGTAAAATATATTTTGATTTCTCATTGTATTTGATACTGTCTTATAAAACATAAAGTGTAGTATAGTATTTTGTATGTGTTGTGTCCTCGCAGTGTGTGTACATGGAGCTGTGTCCTCGCAGTGTGTGTACATGGAGCTGTGTCCTCGCAGTGTGTGTACATGGAGCTGTGTCCTCGCAGTGTGTGTACATGGAGCTGTGTCCTCGCAGTGTGTGTACATGGAGCTGTGTCCTCGCACGGTGAGGTGTACTTGCAGTTTATGTTCAGGGTGCCGTGTACTCGGAGTGGTAATTGTTGCTTTCTGTTGTCAGGAGACCATGGAGAAGCTGACGTGGCTGGCCTCAGAGAGGCGGCTGAGCCAGGAGGCAGATTCAGAGGAGAACTCCCAGGAGGAGAACACAGAGGAGGAGGAAGAGGAGGATGCTGCGGAGGGATCGTTGCATAAACCAGAAGGGATGACAGATGAGACCGGCGAGGAGTGTGAAAAGCTGGATGCATCTCACCTTCGGGTCCCATCTCCGGCCCCTGTGGAGACCAGTACCACTCCTGCTGGTGAGTCCTTTAGATAAAGTTTACATATAGTGTCAGATATAGAAGTCTAATGGGGGTGGGGCAAGCTTTTACTGGGATGGGGCTTTCATGCCACCATGTTTTTCCAGGAGAGAGGAGACGTACTGGCACTAAGGGCCCCAACTTGCATCGTGTCCGGAACAGAAGAGGGCGTACACGGGCCAGCAAGGACACCTCTAAACTACTCTTACTGTGCGATGAGAAGATCCTTTTAAAAGACCCTTTAAGAGAACAGAAAGACATGGCTTACGCCCGCTCCTACCTCACCAGGGTGAGACCTCTTATATAAAACCCACGACTATGGAAGAACCCAGCACTGTGATGAGTTCCGTTGTACAAGGCCCATGACTGATGAGGCCTTGTGTATGAGACCCCCCTCGTATGAGACCTAGGACTATAAAGAGACCCCTCGTAAGAGAGTGGAGAGTACCCTTGTACAAGATCCATGACTGATGAGGCCTTGTGTATGAGACCCCCTCGTAGGAGACCTAGGACTATAAAAAGACCCCTCGTAAGAGAGTGTAGAGTACCCTTGTACAAGATCCATGACTGATGAGGCCTTGTGTATGAGACCCCCTCGTAGGAGACCTAGGACTATAAAAAGACCCCTCGTAAGAGAGTGTAGAGTACCCTTATACAAGATCCATGACTGATGAGGCCTTGTGTATGAGACCCCCTCGTATGAGACCTAGGACTATAAAGAGACCAAGACAATAGAGAGTACCATTGTACAAGATCCATGACCGAGGAGACTGTAATGAGACCCACTTGTACAAGAACCATGACCCGTAGCAGGACCCCTCGTACGAGGCCCATTACATTGGTGAGACCCCTCGTACGAGACCCAAAACAGTTGACCGACCCCCTCATATGAGACTCAGGACATTAGAAAGACCGCTTGTAGAGAGACCCCTCATATGAGATCAATGACTGTGTTGAGACCTATGATAGTGGAGAACCCCATGATTGTGATGAGACCCATGACTGTGGGGTAGCTCTCATAGGAGAAAACTGACTGGTGACACCTCTTTGTACAAGATGCCTAACTGTGAGACCCCAATAATGTGACTGAGTTATGGTGCCCCATTATGCCTGGACAATGTGAGTCTTCCTCTCTGTACCTTCTGTGCCAGTGGAGCTGACAGGTTCAAGTGTCTTCTCTTAGGTTCGGGAGGCTCTGCAGTCGGTCCCGGGTACCTATGAACAGTTCCTGAACATCATCTATGAGTTTGAGACGAGCAGTGGTAAAAGGACAGCGGTAGATCTGTACGAGAGTCTTCAGCACCTCCTGCAGGACTGGCCACAGCTCCTCAAGGATTTTGCTGCATTTCTGCTCCCGGAACAAGCGCTGGAGTGCGGCCTGGTGAGTGATGGAACACGACATGCCTCTGTGGCCCAGCACACCATACCAGCACCTCCATATTGTCCTCACACACCGCACATTCTACAAGTAGTGGAGTCATTGTGTACAAAGACAAGTTTCTTATGAAGAATGCCTCTCATGAAGCTTAAGCCCATGTTTACTTTATGAGCTTCTGACCCTTTAATTTAGTAGCCACCTCCAATTTGTTTTCTCGATTTCCAGTTCGAAGAACAGCAAGCGTTTGAGAAGAGCCGCCGATTCCTGCGCCAGTTGGAGATTTGTTTTAAGGAGAACCCTGCTCATCACCAGAAGATCATCAAACTGCTGCAGAGCTGTGCAGAGTGCCCCGTACAGGAGATTGGAAAGGTTGGTGCTGTACCAGGGACGCATCATCATACCTGCATGCCGTCCTGGCACTGCAAAGTGTTGTCAGCTGTCTCTCTCTTTCCTCACCTCTCTCTGTTCATCTCCCGGCAGCTGAAAACTCAAATGTGGCAGCTGCTGAAGGGCCACCACCATCTTCAGGAAGAGTTTTCTCTTTTCTTTGACCAGCTCAGGCCTCCTGCCAGCCGCATGGAGGATTTTGAGGTCATGAACTGGACCGAGGATAAGGAGCACAAAGTAAGTAGATGACAAACCTTATTCTAGCTGACTGGTGAGGAATGAAGGGCCATATTCTAGGTGAGGGATGACGGACCTTATTCTATGTCACCACTCAGGGATGATAGACCTTATTCTAGCTGACTGGTGAGGAATGAAGGGCCATATTCTAGGTGAGGGATGACGGACCTTATCCTACATGACCACTCAGGGATGATAGACCTTATTCTAGCTGACTGGTGAGGAATGAAGGGCCATATTCTAGGTGAGGGATGACGGACCTTATCCTACATGACCACTCAGGGATGATGGACCTTATTCTAGCTGACTGGTGAGGAATGAAGGGCCATATTCTAGGTGAGGGATGAC